AAAGATAATGTTGATTTGTGGTTTTCAAAGTCAATATGCAGCCCACAAGGATCTGTTTCCATTGGAGCACTGAAAAATCATGAAATGATCTGCCCAGCCACAAGTGTCATTCAAACCAGGTCTTTGTATCTTGAGGGCCAGCTCTGTATCTGTTACCCCGCACAAGCTCTCCACACAAAGTGAATACCAGGTAATCAGAGGGAAGGGAAGGATTTATTAAAGGGATTAGGAAAGGCTTTATATAAAAGGTGGCACGTTAGGTGAGTTTTGAAGGAAGATGAGAAATATAAGAGGTGGAGATGAGTAGGGTTTTATATGTTACTCAGTTGTTATTTGCCTTCACACACATGTGTGGTAGGGAGAGGGGATAGCATCATGTAGTGAGAAAAGTCCTGAATTTGAAGTCAAAGAACTCTGGTTCAAGCCTTGGCCCTGACACTTACTAGTTATACAAAAATTTACGAATAATGGAGAAACTTTCCCTCAAGTCCTCCCAATAACATTTACTAGCTGTCTGACTGCAACTAAGTAACTTTCCTAAGCCTCAGTTTCACCATCTCTCTAAAGGGGGGGATTATAATACCTGCACTACATACTTCTGAAAGACATTTGTGAAGGGAACATTCTATAAACCTTAAAATGTTACATAAAGGCATTATTATAGATTTTAACCCATTTAGTGAAAAGTATTGGGTCTCACTTTTTCCTATCAGAATTCCACATGCAATGAGTATATATAAGTTAATTGATTCTTTATGTGCAGGAAGTATTCCATTGGTTCTCTCCAAATGCTAATCACCTCACTTTCTAACATAATGCTCAAGCATTTTACAAGTAAATATGTTTTATTTATATTAGCAAAACCAGTTTGAGATTACGAGAAAGCCTCATCCTTGTAATTAATTCAGGTCTTTCCGTAAAACTTCATTTTGATTAGGATGGACCAGTTACTGCCAAAATGAAATGCTGGATTGTAAAGCTCCATATCAAACATCAGTTGAACTAGATATTTTGAGTTGCTTGGGATTAAGGAGAAAGAGATAATTAGTACTAGCTATTCTTTTGTCTTCAAAAATACACTACAGGATATACTACATACAATATTCACAGGGAAAAAAGCAGACTCATAATTCCTTAAGAGTAGGAATTGTTTTACCTATTGAATTTTTATTCCAAGAACTTAGTATAGTGCCTGACACATGGTAAGTGTTTAATAAATGCTAATTAGTTGACTGAATAAATGTATTGTTTAATCATCTGTTCTCTTATACAGAAAAATTATTTTAAAACCTGAAAGGGATCTTAGAAGTTATCTACACTCTTTATTTTTACAAGGAAGAAGGAAACAACAAGCATTTATTAAGCACCTTGTATGTGCCAGGCACTGTGCTAAGCACTTCACAAATATTTTCTCATTCAATACTAACAACAACCCTGGAAGGTAAGTGCTCTTATTATTGCCATTTTTTTATTTCTGTTTCTGTTTTTTACAGCTCAGAAAACTGAAATAGACAGAGTTTACATACCTGTCCAAGATCTTACATCTTGTAAGTATTTGGGATCAAATTTGAACTCAGATCCTCCTGACTTTAAATCTAATGCCTTATTTTATGTGCCAACTAACTGAGGAAAACATGAGACCTGGAACAACTAAGTGAAAAGGGGAAAAAATGGTGGAACCAGTTGAGATGTTTAATTTCTTCCATTTAGGACTCTGGTTTTCTGGGCATTTGGCTACAATGATACATTTAACAAGTTCAAGATGATTTATGAGTGCTATTATTTGACAAAGAGGTGTTTCAAAGGAGTTCAAAAAGACTCTTAAAGATGGTGTCACCATCTCTAATTTAGGAAGCTGTGAACATCAATGAGAATGCTTTTAAGTTGAGCTCTACAGTGACCGCTGCAGAGACTAGGTGCATTCCTGATAAGGGCAAGCAGCACTTTCTGGGCAAATATTTTGAGGCTGGTTTTTTTTTTAAGCCAATTCTCCATACTGCTCAAATGAAACATGAATGGATGGCACACTAAACCAAAAATTTGTGCTCAGCATCAAATTCCAAAGCAAGTTCAATCTGTAGAGATTGGGCCATTTAAAGAAACTGTCTGCAGTTATTTCTAAAAATAAGACAAGGCCCTAAACTCTAGCAACAATGTCTCGGGGGAAAAAATATAGCATTTCAGCACATTCGTTGTATGCTGCTATCGGAAAACTATATTTGGTTGTAGAAAACTCTAGTCAGAATGAACAACCACTCAGCACCAGACCACTGATGGATTCTTGTCAATATCTGAGGTAATTTTAAAATCTTGGGTAAATACAAGAAAGGATGTGTTTAAAAGAAATCCAGCTCAAGGCTAGGGGCTAATTGGTTCAAGAGCCTTAACTTGCCTGGGGTAAGAAGCTTACAAGACTAGAAAGACAACTATTTAAAAACTCAGGCCTGAGAGAAGTCCTCAGAGCCTTGATCAAGGAGAAATGGAATGTTTTTTGAAGCCCCAAAAGGAAGTTTAGGAGTAAGGGTTTTGTCCTTCAGAGGAGGTGGGGAACCTTGTGAACAAAGAATTGGCCGGACAGCTCCTTATAATCCTGTTGCATTGGTGTAGTGAAAAGAATAAGATGCAGGAATCAGAACACCTGGGTTCTTCTAGGCCTAATTCCCCTGTTAACCAGCTGGATCCACTGAGGTGAATTACATTCTGAGATGGGAATGCCCTGTGACCAGATCTATGAAAGTCAATGACAGAGGAAGTACCCTGTGGACAGAAGTGGGAAGGCAATACTCTGAGGACAGTATCCACTTCAAGAATCGTGATCCCTCATTACCGAAAGAAAATCTGACTTTGGAGTCTAAAAATACACCTCAAAGCCCAGCAGAGAGCCCCCCATCCAAGAAGAACCTCAAGATAACATCATAAAGAGAGAAAAATATTTCCAGGGCCAGGAATTGGGAATGTATTCCTTTATCCCTTGGCCATGTTTTCTACACACGGCTCATTCTTACTGTACTTGAAGTATGAGCCATTCTCCCAGGGACCTTGTGTATCTAAGGGGAGACTGCCCCTAAGTTGGGAAGGAATGTTTTATAATTAATGTTCTTTCTATACCTTCTCAGTAAATACCCTTTTCTAGAAGTGAATAGAGTTCTACTGTCTAATTGAAAATAGAGGGCACAGAGTATCTCTGATAAAGGTGTTATTTCCAAAATACACAGAGAACTAGTAAAATTTATAAGAATACAAGTCATTCCCCAATTGATAAATGGTCAAAAGATATGAAAAGGCAGTTTTCAGATGAAGAAATTAAAGCTATCTATAGTTATTTGAAAAAAATGCTCTGAATCATTGATTAGAGAAATGTAAATTAAAACAACTCTGAGATACCACACCACATCTATCAGATTGGTCAACATGACAAAACAGGAAAATGATAAATGTTGGAATGTTGGGAAATGTTGGGAATGTGGGAAAATTGGAACACAGGTGCATTGTTGGTGGAGTTGTGAATTGATCCAACCATTCTGGAGAGCAATTTGGAACTATGCCCAAAGGGCTATAAAACTATTAATACCCTTTCATCCAGCAATACCAATACTAGGTCTGTATCCTAAGAGATCATAAAAATGGGAAAAGGGCTCACATGTACAAAAGTATTTATAGCAGCTCTTTTTGAGGTGGCCAAGAATTGGAAATTGAGGGGATGTCCATCAATTGGGGAATGGCTGGACAAGTTGTGGTATATTAATGTAATGGAATACTATTGTTCCATAAGAAACAATGAGCAGACGGACTTCAGATGCAAAGTAAAGTAAACAGAACCAGGAGAACATTATGCATAGTAACAGCAATATTGTTATATGAACAACTGTGAATGACTTAACTATTCTCAGCAACACAATGATCCAAGAAAACACCAAAGGACTTATGATGAAACATACTATAGGCCTCCAGAGAAAAAACTGAGACTGTTAAAGTAAAGACTGAAGCATACTATTTTTCACTTTCTTTCCTTCTTTTTTTTTTTAATTCAAGTCTTTCTGTACAAAATTACTAATATGGAAATGTTTTACATTATGACACATATATAACCTATATCTGATTGCTTACCATCTCAGGGAACAGGGAAGGGACAGAAGGAGAAAAAAATTGAAAAGAAATAAATAAAAGAAATCCAGAATTATGCTAATAATGGAAAATAGAATAGATACTCTTTCATTAAATTTAACCTTACACATAAGCAAGGCAGGCAACCACCTACATGGCTGATTTGAGGGGCACTGGGAATGATCTTATTCTAAAAGATCTATTCTACTTTTCCTGTCACTTTAGAAAGTCACTTCCCTCCTGGAGTTGTAATGGTAGATGAATATTGTACTCACTTTTGTGTGCCCAGAATTACTGCTTAGTGAGAAGGCTGTGATAGGTTCAGGCTCCTTCACATCCCTCCCCCACCCCCATTCATGTTAGGCTAGTTCTTTTCTTAAAAGTTAAGGATGCTGTCTCTAAGATTTGACTGTCCAGGGAACTAAAAGATGTAAAAAGCCCCTCCCAGAAGGTGTCAGGGCCCTTCAGATTTGGTTGATGTCTCAGGCATGGGAATCATCTTATTCTTTTATTGACCAAATAGATGCCTTTCAGATATAGAAGAGGCCGGGCTAAACAAAGCAGCCTTGTTGAAGCCTCCTTTTTTGTTGGTTATTAAAAGTGTTACCACTTTCAATTCATTCTAATATCATACCAAAATTACCAGAAACCTGCCTGAGTCAGATTCAGATCATTACAAAAGCATTTCTTGGAATGTGTCATTACTCAACTTCCAGGGTCATGAACACAGTACATCTATTGCAACATCTGTAACCCTGTAGGATAAAATCGTAAAATTAAATTACTCAATTAAAAACATAATGTGTTACTAAAAATTCCTTTTGGATTCTGGGTGTGGAGAATAAAAGAGTTGTCATGGTAGTAAGTAACTGGGCCATAGGTCTAACAGTACTTACCCGGAAGACCTGCTCCACTCTTGCAATACTTTTCCCAAAGATAGTTCCAAGCTGGTCTCCAATTCCCGCCAATAAGAAACCAAAAAGTGGAATTCCAAAGATGGCATACAAAATACAAAAGATTTTGCCTCCTTCAGTGCTTGGAGCAATATTTCCATATCCTAGTGTTTTAATGAAAAAGAGAGAGAAGTGTAAGAAATCAAAGAAATTAAATTAAGGAACAAAATAGTATTATTCTCTTTGTCCAGAGGTCTACCTTCCTCCATTTTTTAAATTATTATTTTTAGGCAATTGGGGTTAAGTGACTTGCCCAGGGTCACACAGCTAGTAAGTGTCAAGTGGCTGGTCTGAGGCTGGATTTGAACTCAGGTCTTCCTGACTTCAGGGCTGGTGGTCTATCCCTGTGTCACCTAGCTGCGTTACCTAGCTGCCCCCCCACCTTCCTCCATTTTTAAGAGCTTCAGCAATGACTGATGCCATTTAAAATGTTGAACATAACAAATAACAACACAATGTATTGTTTGTGATTTTTTAAGTCAACACATAGCCTACAAGGATCTGTGTCCATTTGAGTTTGATGCCACTGGTCTACAGCAGAGATAGATGATAAAATTCCCCTATATGATAGAACCAAACCAAAATGGAATTGGGAAATGTTTAACAAAATAAATCACAATACAATATAGATGAAGTTCATAATTTTTCTTCCTTCTCTTATTTAACAACCCAATATTATAGGACACTAGCTTTTGAGCCAGGAATACTTTGTTTTGGGATGATGAGCAATGTAACTTCATTTCTCTTCTCCTCAGTTTCCTCCTCTGTAATTCTGGTAATTGTGAGGGCTTAAATGACTTTTTTTTTCCATTGGACATTGGTATAGGGAATTTCCAATGAAAAAACACCCTCTTGCCAATATAGATTGGCACTTAATAGTAGGAAAAAGATGCCTAGGATTCAGCAACCTATATAGGACCATAACCTACAACCAGTATATGTTAAAAGTAGGACTCAAACCAAGGTCTTCTGACTCTGACTCTATCCTCTAACCTCTATTGCCTCTCTGATAAGGCTTGAGATTCAAAAGGAATAATGCATGTAAAGCATTTCACAAACCTTAAAATGTTGCAAAAGTGTCAGTTATTATTATATGTTATCTCTACAAACTAGAAAAGATGCATGAAGGAGCACGGTCAGCTAGTTCTGGATCTGGTGAATTTGAGATTTGACTTCTTTAGTTTTTCGTGCTTCAGTAATAAAAACCTACCCATTTAAGAAATTAAAAAAAAAAAAAGGATGGCCTCTATCTAGGGTTCTTAACCTTTTTTTGTGTCATGGACCCTTATGACAACCTAGTGAAGACTACAGACTCCTAGAGGCAGCTAGGTGGTGCAGTGGATAGAGCACCAGCCCTGAATTCAGGAGGACCTGAGTTTGAATCCGGCCTCAGACACATAACACTTACTAGCTGTATGACCATGGGCAAATCACTTAGCCCCATTGCCTAGCCAAAAAAAGAAAAAAAAACACCTACAGATTCCTCAGGATACTAATTTTAAATGCATGAAATACATAAGATTACAATGAATTTCAAATAAAGTGACATAAATCTGTAATTGTTTCCATCCAAATTCATAGACCACCTCTTAAATCTATCCAAAGACCCAAAGTTTACATAGATTCAGAAGTTTCCCGTCAATACTACAAGTTGGGCAGCAAGGGCAGTGAGGAAAGTGAGCATTTTGACCCTTAAAGCAGCAAGTGTTTGGTAAACCCCTGTTAAAAACTCAGTTACAACATATGCACTGTTTAGTAATCTTTTGTATATAATTCCAAATACAATATACTATAAGATGCTACCTCTTGAATTATAACTAGATCATAAACTCCTTGAGGGCAGGGACTGTTTTTAATTTGATACTGTTTGAAAAGCTATATCAAGTACCCAACTATATTCAAAGTACTGTGCAAGGTACTCTGGGGGATGCAAAGATGAAGAAAACAGAGTCTTCACCCTTAAGGAGCAACCTGGTAATATTGTAGAGACAGACAACTGTTGTCTCCCCTATTAGAACTGGAGCTCCTTGAGAACAGGAACTATCTTATTTTCCTATTTATATCCTCAATGCTTAGCCCAGTGCTTTGCACATAGTAAGCTTAACAAGCTTTATCACTTCATTCAAAGGCAAATATCTAGAATTGCAAAATAAGCAGTAAGTTGAGGACTCAGGACTAAAGTGTCCTTTTAATCTTTATGTCTCTATTGCTTTACACAGAACCTTGCATGTAGCAGACACGGTATAAATATTTATTGTTAAACTGAATAACAACTTCATTTGTAAAAAGCCCCAATATGCATCTGTTTACTTGGTAGGGATCAAATAAGACAATATGTATAAATAGCTTAGCACAGTGCTTGGCACTAGGTAGGTGCTATATAACCCCATCCTTTCCCTCCCCCTTAGTCCCCATATTTGTGTTCCCAGGGGGAACACTGCATATTCATCTCTACTATCAGCAGAAGTGCCATGAATGCATCATCCTACTCAATGTTTATTGATTTGAAATGGAATGGAGGTGAGAAGAAAAAGAAGAGGGATTGGGGATGTAGAACATTTTTAGATATGTCAAACTAGTTTATTTCATTTTCGAAAAATAAAAAGATTTAAAAATCAGAGACAGCTTGAAAGTACTACCTAATTCAATACCCCTCATTCTGTAGATGGGTCCCCAGGGAGGTTAGGTGATTTGCAAAAGGTCACAAGGTAGTAAAAATCAGGGGAGCAATTTGAACCCATAACCTTAGACTCCTGAATACTTTCCACTGTACCATGCTACTGTTTTATTGTTCCTTTACCGGTTTACAGAAAAATCTGGAATTATTCCCAAAGCGTTATTAAATTACCTATATCTTTTGACCCAGCAATACCACTGCTTGGTCTGTTTCTGAAGGTAATTAGGCAAAAAAAAAAAAAGAATCTATATGTTCTAAAATGTTTATAGCTGTCTTTGTGGTGGCAAAGAACTGGAAATTACAAAGATGCCCATCATTTGGGGAATGACTGAACAAGTGTAGTATATGATTGTGATGCAACACTACTGTGCTATAAGAAATGATGAGCTCAATGGTTTTAGAAAATCATGGAAAGACTTGCACAAAATAATGAAGAGTGAAATGAGAAGAACCAAAAGAATGTTTTATAGAGTGACATCAATATAATTTTAAGAATGACTTTGAGTGAATAAGTTATTTTGACTCTTATAAATACACTAATTATAAAGGACATATGAAGAGAGATGCTATCTGCATCCAGAGAAAGAACTGATGAAGTATGTATAGAATAACTTTACATATACACACACATACATACATACATACATACATACACATATGTATATGCCTTTTTGTAACTAATGGTAGCCATCTCTAGGGTTGGGGGGAGGAAGAAAAAAAAGAAATTCACATGATAATTTTGCTGTATATTTGAAAGAAATAGCAAGTTGTACATAGTAGATTTACAATTTCATATCCTATGTATTTTATTGTACTATGTTATGGAAATGCTTGTTTTATTCTATAAATTAAGAATAAATTTTAAAAAATAATCATTGCCACTTCTCAGTGACCCTACCACCCACCAGAACTCTGACTTATAAAAAATAGAGTTAAGCAAAACAATTCAACATTTTGGCCATGTCTGAAGATGCATGTCTCATTCCACACCTATAGTCCACTATTCTGCTGAGATGCAGGAAGCATGAACCACTGTTGGTTCTCTTAAGACACCATTGGTCACTGCACCGATTGCAGTTCTGAAATCTTTCAATGTTGTTTTCCTTTATGTTAACTGTGATCATCATGTAAATACTGTTCTCCTGGTTTTGCTTACTTTGCTCTACATCAGTTCACTGGTCTTTCTAAGTTTCTTTGAATTCTTTGTGATGATATTTCTCATGGTGAAAATTTCATTAATTATTCTATTAATCCAGTTAATATCTGTGACAATCTTATATTGCAGTGCTAGCCTGGGGCTGGGTATATGCCAAGCATTCTTCCCCTAAATTATGCAATTATAAGTGGGAACTATGATTTAATCACTATAGGGCCCTCCTAGTATGGTAAATCCCTCTACCAACTCAGATCACAACCTCTCCGTGATTTAACAGCTAATTCCTTGGCAATTACCCAAGGCTAAGTGACATGTCCAAGGTCACATAGCTGACATAGTGTTAGAAATGATATTTGAACCCAGATGTTTTTGACTCCATGCTCAGCATTCTATCCATTATGCAATACATCTCATCTTTCAGTAAATTGGGTTATTTATTTTGGAGTGTGTTCTTAATTGATGCAAACAGGCACTTGATCGTGATCTTAGTTATCAGTATATGAGCATCATAGTGAAATCTGACTTTGGAAGTTTCCACTATCCCCCTCCACTCACTGATTGCTGTTTCTTCTTGCCTAGGGGTTGGATCATTGGCTATTTTATTTTCAGCTTTCCATTCAGAATTATTCAAGCCTTCTATAACAAATTCTCTGAACTACAGTTTCTATTTCTTAAGCAGAGTTTCAAAGGGCCTTCATAATTGTTCCTTCTTTCAGTCAACTTTTTTTTTCAATTTAGTCATAAGTTCTGGGCTGGGTTTCTTTTCTAAATTATTTTTGAAAACATCCTTCAAAAGTATAGACTAAAAGTCTCTTTGGGCATTCCCCTTAGAAAGATCCTATTTAAATGTAAATAATACCATTGACAATATAATAAAACATGCTTACATTTTTTTAGTTGGCCCAGAATTAAGGTTACTCCCAGAATCCTCCTGGTAATTTAAGGGAAGATTTCAGATTCCCATTGCTCCATAACTGCCTGATTATTTTTGGTGAATATGTATTTTTTTCAGTCTAAGTGAGGATCTCCCCCATCCTCTGAATAGGGGAGTCCCAAATGAATGAAGCCTATAGATGTTGACTATATAGAGGGAAAAATGTTGATGGAAGGATCTGGCTTTTATTGTGTTTTTGGCTTTGTAAACAACTAAGCTTGCAAATAATGCCCAGTTCAGCAAAATCTACCTTTATAGGCTTTATCTGTTGGCCAAAGATTGGTAATGAAGCTTTTTTTGAGCATTGATTGTTCATCAGGACCTTATTAACCAAAGG